ATAAATCTCTGTGCAGTCTGAAGCCATGTCACACATCATGGTCTGTGATGCTTTGTGACCTACTGCATAGAATCCAGCAGTGGCTTTTTGAGGGACATCCAGAGACTTGGGAGCTCTGGACCCAGAAAGCTAGGTTTACTCTATGAGTTGATTCTGCTGTGGGTGGCCAGTGACATCCTGCCCCTTGGGCTTCAGTTCAACTCAGCCAGTATACCAGGAAATAGGTGACTATTTCCAGTATTCCAGTCTTGGTGACTGAGAACTGTGGGGTTTTGAAATGTGGGCTGTAGCTGAGTTAGCAGTGCAATCACACAGAGTGCACAAGGCCAGGTACATACGACTGTCATCCCAGCACTGGGGATGTGGAGGCAGGAGGATCAGGAGTTCAAGGTCAACCTCAACTACACAGTGAGTTTAAGGCCAGTTTGGACTCCATGAGTCCAAATCTAAAAAAAAGAAGAAAGGGAAAAAAGAGAAGAAAAAAGAAAGAAAGAGCTCAAGTTCTTTAACCTGCTTCTCATCCAGAAATGGGGGTCCATTCACCTCCAGTGGGACAGGAGTCGATCAACATGGCTCACCTTCAGTGGAAGTATAAAGCAGTCCCTACAGGGGACAGGGAGACAGCTTTCCTTCCTTTGTGAGTAAATTTGTCATATTATCATCATCATCATTCCTTTGAGCCAGGGACTCACATAACCCAGGCTGGCCTCGTACTCCCTCTGACCCTGCTGCCCCAGCTCCCAAGCACTGGGGTGTGAGGTGCAGGTATGCCTTTACTGCCATGCGCTGGCTGGTTGTGTTTCTGACACAGAGTTTCACTCTATCCCAGGCTGGCACAAACTTGTGGGAGATCCTCTTACTTCACCGTCTCCTGTACTGGATATGTGGACAGAATCTGTGGGGTCTCTAGACGCCCAAATCCAAACTTACATTGAGTCCGGGGAAAAAGAGGGTTTGCACACAGTGACCACTGGGGGGCAGCAGAGGACTGCGATGGCAGAGCCAGCGCGTACACATGCGTGAATGCTCGCCCATGTGTGTGCGTTCCGGTCAATGAGGGGCCACAGGTTGGCATCAGGTGTCTTCCTCATTTTACCCAAGTGTACGCCTGCGCCTTGTCCTGTAGTCCCAGCGCCTCCGTGCACCTCCGTGCGCCCGCCGTGCACCCTGGCCCAGCAGCGCCGCTGTTCAGCTGTTGTAGGGAATGAACTGCAGACTTGGGATATCACACAGCCCCTCCTGCAGTTCTGGGGTCACAGACCCTGTACCAGGCTTCTCTGTGGGTTCTGGGGAGCCGAACTCACGTCCTAAAGCTTGCAATATCTCCTAGCACCAAGGCACCAGGGCTGTGCGGTGTTTAAAGGGCTCCCTCATTCTGCGGAGAGCTTCCCGGACCCGAGAGTTTCGCAGGACAGAGGTGCACTGCTCAAGGGAGGAGGAGGACAACGAAGAGGACGAGGAGGAGCCAAGGGTCTGTTCAGTCTTGGGACTGGGAATCCAAGGAGGAATGAATAGTAGGGTAGGGCCCGCGAAGCAGGGCGTACATACATACCCTCCACCAAATACAGTCTTGCCATTGTTGAACTAGCCACTCTGTTCCCTACTCTGGCTGCAGGGGAATCTCAGCCATAGTAAGGAGATGGAGCCTGTGACCTGAGATCCACAGAAAGGGGTAAAATCCACCCCTGTGGGAAGAATCTAAAAGACTGATAGTTAGACCATCGGACACTAGAGGGTTGGAATGTTGCAGGTCCAGAGCCAAATTATCATGGACTATGTCTAGCCCCTTAACAGCTGTGGTGGTTTGAATGGGAATTGCCCCCTCTGCCCGCACCCACACCACCCCATAGACTCATGTGTGAATAGCTGGTCCATAGGAAGTGACACCATTAGGAGGTGTGGCCTCGTTTGAAGAAGTACATCACTGGGGGTGGGCTTTGACGTTTTTTTATAAGCTCAAGTCTGACCAATGTGGCACAGTCTCTCCCTGCTGCCTGTGGATCAGGGTTCAGCACTCGCAGCCCTTTCTCCAGCACCATGTCTGCCTGCGTTCCACCATGCTTCACGCTGTGATCACACTGGACTGAACCCCTGAAACTGTAATTAAATGCTGTCCTGTGGTCATGGTGTCTCTTCACATGACTAAGACAACAGCCATTCATTAGTCACTTCTGTGTCACTGACGTCCTTGTGTCAACTGGGTGAGTCTCTTTGAATTGCAGAAACAGACCGCTGACTGCTACCTGTTCGAAGGCTAAGGAGGAGGTCAGACAGTGTCTGAGGCCTATAGCAGAGGTTTCAGCCTTGTGATTACTGGCAGCCTCGACTTCATACCCATGTCCTTCTGAAGTGCTTGACAGTGACTTCCCATGTCCTCTTTCTATTAGTACTTCTCCACATGGCTATCTGTTAGAACATGGTGTTTGAGGAACTGTGTTCTTGGAGTCCTGGTCATATTTAGCTTCAGAATAAACTCTCTTCTCCCCTGTGAGGCTGTATCTCTTCACAGTGCCAAATCCCATGCTCCAAGAATCTGACTGAAGCCTCAAGAACTTCAACTCAATTGATGTTTGCTGCAACCAACGCCAGCATAGACAGAATAGTAATTATTACTGCTTGAGATAGGGGCTCATGTGACCCAGGCTGAGGAGGACTCTGAACTGACCCTCCTGCTAGGATGACCTGCATCAGCCTGGGTAGCTGGGCTATCAAACCTGGGGCTTGGTGCATGCTAGACACTCTACTCACTGGGCCCAGGGTTGGCTCAAAGACAACTGTGGGTTTAGAGGGAGAAAGAGATATGTTGCAAATGTTGTCTTAGCACTGAGCAGAGCCCAAATGTGTGCAGCCTTTCTCCTGCCCAGCCTGAAACCTGCAGTTTCTCGGGTTCATATTGGAAGCCCAGGTCACAAAAGAAAGTCTCCTCCTGTGGTTTCAGAGTAAGCATGCCCCTCAGGCTTGAATGTCAATGCTCAGTCCACAGTTAATGGACTGCTTGGGAAGGGTTAGGGGGTGTGGCCTTGTTGGATGAGATTCAAAAGCCCACAGCAGTCCCAGTGTAACTCTCCAGCTACTGCTCCAGTGCCTGCCTGTCTGTTCCAGCCATGATGATCACGGACTAACCCTCTGAAACGGTAAGCCAGCTCACAGTTAACAGTTGCCATGGTCATGGTGTCTCCTTGAAAGGATGACATAAACCCTATTTGTCTCCATTTTAGGATCAGGCCTGATTTCAAAAAGAAAGTCACCAGTCCCGGGAACTAGGCCATAAGTCACCAGCTCCAGGAACAGACCATAAATTCCAGGAACAAGGTCAGATAACTCCTTACCAAAAAAGCCTAGAGGTAGCCACAAGAATAGGGAAATATCTAATCTTGGGCCCTCTGTGCTAGGCAGCCCTATCTCATCTTGTGATTAAGAATGCAGGCCACTGACTACCTGGCACAAGCCAATCAGAAGCTGGCCCCTGTGACCTCCCCAGCACCCACCAATGAAATTTTAGATTACTTAACACACTCTCTAAAAATAGAACTTACATAGTAGCTAATCAAGTTATACCAATGTCACTGCTTTGGCCCCTACCAAGTATTACTTAATTCTTCTAGAAAGTTCCGCTGGTTCCCTAGAAGAAGGCCTGTGGACCTTTGTCTGATGTCACCATTTTGAAGAAGGGTTGCTGCCAGTTGTTTCTGCAGAATAAACGTTCTTTGTCTTTGCATACGATCTGAATCTGGGGTTTTCAGCGATTTCAGACCCTTACATCCTCAGAGGGATGGAGCAGTGACTGAGACCCCTCTTAAGCTCCATGTGTGAGCCTTGTGGTCCCAGGCTTATTTGTTTCCTGATCTCATCCTAGCCACCTGCAGAAACACCCTGTAATTCCATAAACCCAAAAAGATGTGAAAGATACACGTCTTTGATCCCAGCACTTAGGAGGCAGAGACAGGAGGATCTCTGTAAGTTTGAGGCCAGTCTGGTCTACAGAGTGAGCTCTAGGACAGCCAGTGCTATACAAAGAAAACCTGTCTCAGGAGAAAATAACAAAAACCCACATACATACATACATACATACATACATACATACATACACACACACATACATACATACATACACACATACATACATACATACCAGTGAGATCACGTGGCTTGCTGCTTTTGGGACACCACATGAATCCCTAGCCTCTCTTCCTGTTGGCCAAGAGTCTTCTCTTGGATTCTTCATTTAGGGGACTTCATCACCTTGTGATGAAGTGGAATAACACTGGGACGTTTCAGTCAGGTAGCCCAAGTCCCCAGCTGTGATATCAGCACTTCCTACTGGGTAAGCCATTTACTTTTGTTGGGCATATGTAGGAGAAGAGATCCTTGGTCTCATGAAGGCTGGACGCCCCAGTGGATGGGAATTTGAGGGTGGGGAGGTGGGAGTGAGGGAGTAGGTAGGGGCACATCCGCAGAGAAGCAGGAGGAGGGGAGAAGGGGTTCCTGGGGGGGGAATGGGGTAAGGGGATAACATATAAAATGTAAATAAAACATCCAATTAAAAAAAAAGACCCATCCTTTCCTACAACTTTCACTCTAGCTCAACAATGAGGACAGTTGGAATGAGTCACCCAAGCCAACACTCACTTCCCCTTACTCATGCTTCTGATCATGAGGACTCTGGCTCAGAGAGTCTGCCCACACTGGTCTCCTTCTGAGCTCCTCCTCCACAGCCTCACAGCACTAAGAAAGCAAGGGAAACAGAAAAGGGAGCCAGGACAAAGAGGATGTAGCTAGGGGCGTGGTCAGGGGTGGTCCCCAGCTCAGACTCCCCCAGTGAGGGGATGGAGGGACAGGCCCCCAGTGAGGAGCTGGGATGAGGCTCAGGAAGAGCATTCTGCTTGGCACTTAGTAACCTGACCCCACCATTGTTAATTTATTGGGACAAAAGCCAACACGGAGACACGTGGAGGTGAAAGGCCCCTCACTGGGACTCACTTTAGAATGGCCCCTGTGTCTTTGGCTATTTCTGGGAGTTTGGCTTCCTGACAGTATTCCGGAGTTTATTTGGCTGGTCCTTCACCCTTCTGGAGCGCAGCCACCGTCTCAGTTTGCCCCGAAGCCAGGCACAGGTGCAGATCCCCAGGAATATCAGGGAGCAGAACCCTGAAAGTTGCTGGCCTCTCTCCGTCCTCAGCTGCTTGGGGATGGCATAGGCCAGCCACACAGTCAGCAGCGTTGTGGTGACGATCAGGAGGATGCAGACCAATGGTCGGAACTTCGCCACCGGTAAGGCCCCATACACGTACACGCTGAATATGGTGTTCAGGTTGCAATAGCTGCAGGGGACAGTGGGTACAGCCTGTCGGGTTGTTAATCTGGGTCCTGAATGACAGCTCTCCTCCTTGGATCACACAGCCATAGCTCTTTGTGTGGGGGTGTTAAGGTTTGCTTGCTTGCTTACTTTGGTTTGGGAGTTTTGTCTGGGGAATACTAAGGGCAATTTCATCAGAGTTAGAAAGAATAATGCAGTTAACAGGCCTTCAGCTTTCCCAAGAAGAGGAAAGGGTGGGGGAAGGGCAAAGCCCCAGTGCTGAAGCTGCTGTGTCAGTCACACAGAGGACACATAGCTTCAGTGAGGGGAGGGAGTCTTTAGTGAGGGTAAGAAGCCCCAAATGTCAAGAAGCAGGAATAGGAAGAACAAGCAAAATCTCCGATGGGAGGTGGCTACAGCCCACAAGCTGCCTCTATGTGTGAGTTTTGACACAGGTCTCATGTAGCCCAGGCTGGCCTCAACTAGTTATGTAGCCAAGGATGGCCTTAAACTCTATGTCCTTCTGTGTCTGCCCAGCTCCATGGGATACGTGGGGTGCACTACCACCCAAGGACCTGTGCAGCACCTCTCCTCGAGGCCCCAGGGAGACCGTGCCCTCACTCACCTGTAGTACGGATCCACCACAGCCAGATGGAAGGTATAGATTCCGTTTCTTTGGCCAAAAATAACCCTGTTGTTTGTCTGGCCACCTAAGACCTGATACTCGACATTCGGCCATAGCAGGGGGTTGTCCTGGTTGTCCTCATGGCAGCTGACATAGTTCTAGGGACAAGGACAGAGATGCTATTCCCAGTTACCTTGGCCCTGGCCTCTATCCTTTGCACAGCATATACTCTCTGTCCCTCAGCCTCTAAGCAAACCCATGTATGGAGGGCCTTGGGCGTCACGGCCCTCGTGGCCTCCTCCCTGCCCTTCCTAGGACGCTTGGCAGGATATTCAATTGCTTTGCCAACCACATAAGCATGAGTTGCGTGTCCTTGGACTATGACCTTATTCAGAAAAACAGTCTTGCTGGGCAGTGGTGGCACATGCTTTTAGTCCCAGCACTTGGGAGGCAGAGGCAGGCAGATTTGAGGCCAGCCTGGTCTACAGAGTGAGTTCCAGGACAGCCAGGGCTACACAGAGAAACCCTGTCTCGAAAAACAAAAAAAAAGAAAAAGAAAAACAAGTCTTTTGGGTGGTAGTTACCTTATCTGAGAAACTTTTGTGAAGCCTAGGCTGGCCTCGAACTTGCTCTGTAGTGGGTCCTCCAGTCTCCAACACCACAGGGGTATGATGGGATGACCGGTAGAAACCAGCACACAGCTTCAAAGGTCCCAGGGCTTCATGTATTCCGGGTGAGAGTGAGCAGCTTGGGCAAGAGCCTACCTGTCTGTTCCAGAGGGACGGTTGTTTGTTCTCGGTGTCCTGTACGTACTCTGTGTCCGATTCAAATGTGCTCCAGTTCTGAGGCTGTGACCGGCAGTTTGCAGTGGCAGCGGTCAAGGAGTACGAATAGGTAATTAGTCCATTCACCTCTGAGATGACATACTCTGCCTCCATGATCTCTTCGAAAACCCCATTCTTCCACCTGAGACACACAGCGAAGCTGCTGGGCTAGACTGCCAGGGTCATCCCCACAGGAGGACACTCATGGGGTCATTAGCCACCTAGACAGGATTTCAAGGCTATGGAAAGCTATGTCTGATGGTCCATGCCTGTGGTCACAGCACTCCTGGAGGTATCTGTGCAGGAGCTCAAAGTTAACCTTGGCTGTAGAGAGTTTGTGACCAGCCTAGGCTAAATGAGATACTGCCTTAAAACTGTCACATGACAGAATCATGTTCCAAAGACAGCCCTTAGCAACATGATCAGTGAAGCTCTCAGAGGTGAACGGAACTTACCTGACAGCTTCCAGCAACTACAGAAGTTCTACCTCAGAAAGCTTTACCATGCAGTCACACACTGCCCAAATTCCTGTATATTCAGGAAAAAGTCTGCATATGTTCAGCCTCCACATTTTTCAGCAAGGTTTTCTTTTTAAGACACAATCTTGCTGTGTAGCCCAGCCTAGCCTCCAACTTGCAATCTTGCCTCAACGTCCTAAGTTCTAGGATCACAAGTGTGTACAACTGCACCTACCTGAGTGTCTTCGAGTCTCTATGTGGCTATGGCTTCATTATCATATCTGCCCGACAAACTCCTATTCATCCTTCAAAACCCCACAACCAATCATGGAGACACAAACATTGCCCCAGGTGGGGAAAGACATGGGAGAGAAGAGGATGAAGGGAAACCAAAGGCTGGACAAAAGGGGTCGGAAGAAAAGAGGTAATTCTAGTCTAGTGGCATAAGGCGTCCCAGTACTTGGACCACTTGGAGGGCTGGGGCAGTACTATGGAGAGTTCGAGGCCAGACTGAGCTACATAGTGGGTCAGAGGGCCACTGTGTAGATTTGTAAGTCAAACCGAAGCATCATGGGAATGGAAGCGTGTCTCACACTACAGTCTGGGTGTGTGTCTCCTTAGCTTTTGGCTCAGTAGACAACCAACTACGGGGCTGCCGCAGGACAGCCAGAGTTGGTGTGAAAGGCCAGTGGGGAGAGACAGGGACAGGAAGGAGAAACTGTCCTGGGGAGGGAGGGCTGGGGTCTTACAATTCCACCACAGGTATCCACGGCTTGTCGTAGTAGACTAGGCGGGGACAGCCTAGGTCCTTGTACTGGTAAAATACTATCAGGTCATCCTTGGCTTCACCGCTGTGGCTGACTGGGTTGTATGCTTCCCTTTGAAGAGACCAGGGGCACAGTGACCAAGAGCCGACCCCAGCAACTCACATTGGTTTTGTTTTCTAAATCACAGGTTCCAGAAGCTGAACTCAGGTCCTGACAGCCACTGAACCCTCCCCAGCCCAGGACTGACATTACAAAACACTTTTCGTGTGCCTCGATATAACGTGTGAGGGGTGTGTGCGCCACCACCGCCCGGCTTGAGCTCTTAAGTGTGATATGAACATTAGATATCGATGCAAACAAGAAAGGAAAGGTTACGGATTAATTCTGATATACTTGTGTATCAAGTTGGCGAGGTGTCAATTGTCAGACTTGGGTTTTTGTAAATGTGATACAAGCCAGGGTCATCTGTGAAGAGGAAACCTCAGTTGAGAAAATGCCTGGACTAATGACTGACGTGTGAGGCCCAGTTCACTCTGACGGCGTCACTCCTGGGCAGCTGGCCATGGCAATGAGCAGTAGCCTCTGTGGCCTCTGCATCAGCTCCAGCCTCCAGGTTCCTGCCTTGCGTTCCTCTTCCCCAGGGTGCTCCTGGTTGTAAGCATCCTATCATTAGCAACAAAAAGCTAACTGACATACCTTAGGGCCAGTGGCTAAAGCTTGGCTCTGAGCCAAAGGGCCACATCAAAGGAGAAGCCTTGTGAAGGGCTTCCTGCACAACAACCATCCCGCTAGCTCCTGTGTTTGCATGGTTCCCCTGGGTCATACATTTTTAGATCAATCGTCCTTGTTCCCTGGGGTCTCTCTCCCAGTGTGCGGAGGACTGGGAGGTGTGCAGTGTGGGACTTACCACTCAATGTTGTAAGTGTAGTTTTTCTGCAGCTGCACGGGGTTGAGGATTCCCATGGCGCAGGCGGAGATTTTGCTTTAGTGGAGAGAAGTGGGGGAGACTTGACAAGGGACTAGATACAAGGGGACCTGTCAGCAATGGGAGCAGAGTGCAGAACTAGAGGGGAGATATCCTTCACTGGGGTCCCCAGCCAGGCTGGGGGGAAGCTGGGACGCCTGGCCCTGGCTTTGGAGGGCAGGCAGCTGTGATGATACCAGGAAGGATTCCAAAGCCTTCTTTGTCAATTAAAAATTTGAGGCTACAGAGATGGCTTATACTGGGGAGGGGCTCACAGCCATGTGTAATGCTACCTCCAGGGGTGTGGTGCTTTGGCACTTTGAGAGAACTTCCACTTTCAAGCCCACAGGATCACGCTCACCGTCACTCACACTCACACATGCTCACCCACTGCAGCTAGCTAATCCCCTCCTGGCTCAGGATGGGCTGTTTCCACAGATATACAAAAGTAGATGGACTGAGGTCACCTCGATACAGTGATGTGCTGGCCCCACCCTGCCTCCCACAGCACCAGGGCTGTCACACTTACTTTTGCACAACAATTTTCTTTGTCATATCACAGCCAACTGAGATGAGCGTAGACTGTAAGGAACCAAGGCAGAAAGGTGGTCACTCACTCCATGAGGAGCCATTGTCAGCCGTGCTGTGGTGAGACACTGTGTGGGACAAGTACCCATGCCTGATCCTGACACAGTGGCTCTCCGGGTTTGTCTCAGCATCCCAAGCTGAACCACTGTCCCCAGGGAACACCAAACTCTTTGTCCCTTCCCCTTAAAAGTGCACAATCATATACATTGTAATTGTGTGTAAAAACTGCGTCCTTCTCCTGGATAAGTGATATTTGATTAATAAACAGGCCGTATATTCTGTTTGTCTGAGTTTTCCCACCTTTTGTCCACTGTGACTAATACAGCCACCGATGATGTATGTTTTTATTTTTATTTTTTGTTTTTATTTTTGTTTTGTTTTGTTTTTGTTTTCCAAGACAGGGTTTCTCTGTGTAGCCTAGGCTGTTCTGGAACTCACTCTGTAGGCTCAGTTTCAGAAATCTACCTGCCTTTGCCTGCTGGGTTCAGGGATCAAAGACATATGCCACCACTGCCTGGCAATGAAAATAATTTTATGGTTGAGGGTCGCCACAGCATTTGGAATTGTATTGAAGGTTCACAGCGTTAGGAACATTGAGGACCGTTGTTATAGCAGTATTATCCTCTCTAATTGTCCACAGACGATTCTAGAGATAACCAGTAAGAAGCAACACCTTTGCAGCGGATTCTGGGGGATGGCAGTGAGCAGCAGTGACCCCAGCAACCAGACACTGTCACTGTGATAGTGTCTCCAAACCACGGCCCATCCAGTGTGCAGCATCACGGGGCCTGCCTCCATGATTCAGCACATGACTCAATGTTAGGCAACACAAGTCTGTACATACCAGAGGCTTTAGGTCCACACACGAAAGTGTCTTGTCAGCTATGTCCACAGTTACAGAGGAAATGGCCTGGAGCTTGATGCTGCAATGTGACAGGGACAAACCCTTACCCGTTCTGGCATGGGATCCATCTCCACACATCACCCTCAATCCACCCTCTGTCCACCCCCTCAATCATATACCCTCCATCCGTCTGCCTGCCATCATGTCTGTGACGGCTACTCTTGCTGGTCAACTTGACACAGGCATAAAAAGGGAACCTCAATTTGAGAATTTGTCCCTATCCAAGTGTCCGGTGTTCCTCTTGATTAGTGACTGATATGGGAGGACTCTGCACACAGTAGGTGGGGCCATCTCTGGGGGAGCGGTCCTGGGTTGTATAAGAAAGCAGGCTGAGTGCTGGACAGTGGTGGTGCACATTTTAAATCCCAATACTCGAGAAGCAGAGGCAGGCAAATCTCTGTGAGTTTGAGGTCAGCCTGGTCTGCAGAGTGAGGTCTGGGACAGCCTGGGCTACACAGAGAAACCCTGTCTTGGAAAAAACAAAACAAAGAAAAAGAACAAGGAGAGGAGGAGGAGGAGGAGGAAGAGGGGGGAGGGGAAGAGAAGGAGGAGAAGGAAGAAGAAAGCAGGCTGGGCAAGCCATGAGGAGCAGCCAATATGCAGTGTCCTCCATGATCTCGGCATCAGTCCAACTTCAGTTTCTGATCCAGCTTCCTTCAAAGCTGGACTGTAATCGGCATGTGTAAGCCAAGTAAACCCTTTCATGTCCAAGTTTCTTTGGGTCACATTGTTTATTAAAACATCATAAAACAGACTAGAGTACAAACCCCGCTCCCCACAGACACACCTACTCAAGCACACACACTCACACACACATACATACTCATACACAGAGACACACCAAAAATACACACAATACAAACTCACACACAGACATTCACACTCATACACAAACAGACACTCACATATACAGACATATACACAGGTACACACTTACACACACACACACACACGTAGTGGGTTGGCTTAATGCTGCTTGTATTCTAATGCTAATTTGAGATCCCCCAAGACTCTTTGCCCCAAAGAGTCTACAAGCAACCCCTGAAACCCTGCTCACAAGTGAATTCTGATTGGTGAATACAGATGCCTATAGCCAATAGCTTGGGAGAGAGAGAGAGAGAGAGAGAGAGAGAGAGAGAGAGAGAGAGAGAG